GGAAGTGGCTTTAGCTTCTCAGTGCAGTGCTTTAACCCGTTGTGCCACCAGGGAGGGCCCTGGATTGTATTTTTGTAGTTTTCTACAATATTGGTAAAATAATTTCAACAATATTCCAACTGAGCCTTATTTGCCCTGTTGGGTTTTGTGGTTCTTGGATTTTGTTTGGGAAAATTGAGGTAGGAGAATGTAGTTCCACTAGGGGGCAGCACAGGCCAGTCTTTTATCTTGTGCTCAATCATTGGCAGCAGTTTAGATCAATAACAAATATGAAAATGGAAAGTAGTTAAAATTTCTAATGTGATAACTTGTGAAGAGTTCATGGTTGATTTGTGGAAAATATTGTTGCTTTATGCAACAGACTATGAAGAAGATAATTTAACTGTGTCTTTAATTGGGTTGTAAATTGAAATAGACGATTCCTATGAACATTAATTTACTGAAGCTTACTGTGTATACCATAGATATATGACAGGAACAATATTTGCTAGTGAAAATTGTGTTATTTCTTTAGCTTAGCGTGCAGAAGACTTGATCTTCAGTCCACCTTCTGAGGTTGAGGCTGGGGCTTACTTATATGACCTTCCCTACATAGAGACCATATGCCTTTGTTGGACAGAACTTAAAGCTTTAATAAAAGAGCAAAACTAATCCTCAATTTTGCATCAAGAAGCATTGAGGAGCCAGGGCAGAGGCTGGCTAGTATGGATGAGAGATAAATAGGGAGCTGCTGTTTCTGACACATTTCTCCGGCATTTTTCTCAGGCATTTCCCCTAGCTCTCCTATTGTCTGTGCTCCACACAGCAGGCAGAAAGATCCTTTTAAAACACAAGTCAGATCCTATTACTCCTCTGATGGCTTCCTGCTTCAGAGTGAAGCCAGTGACCTGTTGGGCGTCTACTCTACCGCTCAAAACCGCTGTCATAGCCCTCTTTTATATTCTCCCTCCCTTGTTCCTTGTGCTCTACTTGGTCTGTTTTTCTCCTGTATGCCAGGCACCGTAGGGCCTTCACATTACCTGCTGCTAATGCTGAAATGCTTTTTCCTCAAG